CTTTACGAGACGACAGGCGATACAGTCACGCTTTCTCGTCGTAAACGATCCCGCCGCCCCCCGGGAACCACCCCTAATGACTCGGCATCCCTGTCATCTCGACAAAAACTATATCCGCCCCCGTACTTATCCATCTTCCCGAAGCGAGAAATTACCCAAAATGGGAAATTCCCTTTTACAAGTTTGTCCCGATTTAGTAAACGAGTATAAATCATTCGATGTGTAATTTATTATCATACAAGCGATCATTCTGAGAACTGTCGTTGAAACTTCAGATTTCATTCGAGCATTAAGCAAATCTCGCTTCTTCGCATCGCCATGTGTGTTCTTTCGTATTCTTTCGGTCGCGACCGCACGTGGTTGCAGTCGCGATTTATCCGTCAAGAGCTCCTCGTCGTCGTTGACGTCGTTCCTCCTCCTCCGCGCCTGGGAGCGCTCCAAGAATGTCGAAAATACGCGAATCGCGCTAGTGGGCGGACAAAACACCCTTTGGGCACCTGTAGGATGCGCCGACGGATCAAAGTAGATTGCGTAGAAAGCCACGAGGTGTTCGCTCGATTGGTGGCCGGTTACGTTAATGGATGGTCCGTGGTTGAATTGCGTCAGTGGTTGAGGATGCTCTTGCTCGCTCGCTCGCTCGCTCGCTCGCTCGAACTGTGACTTTATTTTTGGCCGTTCGACGACGATACCGTCGACGATTTACGATATCGCTGCCGAGACACCTGTTCCGCAGCTCTCATCTAGAGATTTCTCTTGCGATTTGTATCCCATCGAATATTTCGCAAATACTTCATACGATGATGACACGAAATTGATTTGACTTCTATTCTTTTCTGCCTTGAAGAATTTCAAGCATTTTTTTTTTAATGCAGCGCGGAAATGACGTGGGATAGGAGAAATGTATCAAAGAACGGCGAATAGTTGACTGCGTAAATTCCCACTAAGTCGTAGAAATCGCAGATATTCTTGAAAAACGTGTAAGCGTGTAAGCTTCACTGTTGCCGTGATGTATAAATAGATTAATATTCTAAACGGAAATTTTTTTCCATTTTTCCGGTCTCGCAAGTTGGATTAAATATATAAGAGAAAGTTTATTTCTCCCAATTAAATAATTGTTTCATATTTATAAAAGAAATAATAAAAGTATAATTATAGGAAATAATTATTTATCTCTTATTTCTATTAAATTTTCTCTTTATTTATTAATTACTTACAAAAATTTCTAATGTCTCTATTATGCAAAATATTCACATAATATGTAAAAACATTTAATAGCTACAAATAAAAATAATAATTTTTTAAAACAAAAAGGAATCAGCGTTGCAAAAAAAATGACAGAAAACATGCAATATCCGAAGAATTCTATATGTTCTCCAGCTTGCTGAATATTTCGCACCTATGCTTGGATAACTTCAGTCTCAGCTTTGAAACTTGATCTTTTTTTAATCATCTTAGGACACACATTTCGCGCAAAGAGCAAGATACTATGCAGGCAGTGAGGCTTTTTGGTCGACGATTGAATGAATGCCACGCGAGTTAGTCAGCGCCGCGATGCTAAATTCGGCGGACGCCTGGCGTCGCGCCAGAAGAACCACCCAGCGCACCAACCTGTGTTTCTACCCTGTAACTGCCGACGAAATGGCGCCGTTATCATATCTTCTGGCCGTCGTCCTTCATTGAAATAACATCAAGCAATGCTAGTTTCACTTAAGTCGCTGGATAAGCGGCAAAAGATTCACGCTGTTCTTTTATTCTTGTCTCTGTCCTTTCTGCAAAGATTTGATATTAACGTAGAATGGAGAAATTTCAAATGTCAGAAATTATGGATGAAACTAATGATCAAATAATGATGAAATTACGGATACACTGCTTCTTCTTTTACTAAACAAATTCATATGTACATCTCGATCAAATCTAGAAGAGTAGTTCCGTAGTTAAATTTTCTAAAATGTACCTAGAAAAAGTTGCTAAAGCTTTTGCATAGTAAATTCTTTAATAAGTTATAATTAAATTTAATAAAAATATTTGCAATTTTTATGTTATTAAAAATTGATAATGATGGATATATCTATTTGCATATAATACATTTTTGTGTTTTAATTTAAAGATCTTTTATGTTAGACAAATAAATACAATTAAGCTATATACGTGCATATATTTTGAAATAGTATAGTCGAAGCATTTCTAATATTAGTTAATTGCGTGTACTTGTTCTTTTTACTCAGTTTTTCGTGATAAATTATTAAAAAAATAGTCACAAAATTATAGCATGCCACACTTGTGCAATTAATTTCGCCAATTTACATTTGATTCAACGATTCCTCCACTTGGCGGGATTTTAATAATGGGCGATAATGAGACAGTACAAGTTGTCGGGAGATGATAGGGGTAGTTAGCAACCAAGCGCAAGTCCCCTGCGCAAGTCTGCGGGAGCCAGCCAGGTTTCCTCCCGCGTGGTCTTTTATCCGCCCCCTCCCCGCCCGTCGTACGCATTCGCCACGCGTGTCGCACATTGCCGACACACCAACGGGACCACCACACGCGCGAAGGGAACCGGGCAGGCACGCTTCTGAGGCGCGTGCAGCTGAAGAAGAAAAAGAAGATGAAGAAAAGAAGAAGAAGAAGAAGAAGAAGAAGAAGAAGAGAACGACGACGACGAAGAGCGCCGCGGCGGCAACGGCGACAGTGATGGCAGCGGTGGAGGTGGAGGACGAGGGAAGTTGCGCTGCTATATGTAGCCCCGAATCTTAGCCGGGGCAACTATTGCGCCCGAAATTGCCGAAGCGAACGCAACCCCTGTGCCAACCATTCGACGTACACACGCTTCCAAAACGGATCCGGATCCGTAATCCTTTCTTTCAATATCGCGATACACCGGTTCCACCCCCGTCTTTGCATTGTCATACCTTTATTATATAGATAGTAATCGGTGCGACGAAGTGTGTTAGTTTGTGAGTCTTGAGATGATAAGTATGACTTGTGTGCTCTGAGGAGAAAAATCGAGGAGACAAGGAAGATGCCACGAGCGTTCCTGATCACGCATCGCAGGTACAACGGTGCTGAAGAAGAAATCGCAGGATCTGAAAGAGGTAAGTTATTAACTCGGTGCACTGCAGTTTTCAAAAATTTATAAATATTTATTATATTTTTATTATATTTTTACTTGTTATTAATTAATTTAATTATGTATAATAGCTCAAAAGTGCGAAAATTATACAAAGAAAACTAAACTAATTTGTAAACAGTTAATTTAACTTATTTATAATATTATTATTATAATATTATTTATAATAAAACTGAAGTTCAAAAATTAAAAGATATTAGAAATTAAAAAAGAAAATATTTAACTAATAACCAAATTTTAATTTTATTGTAGTTGAATAATTAATTTTAATTTTTAATTAACGTATATAAATTAATTTGATTTTTTATGATTTATTCTAAAACTATGAACAAAAAAGAATTTTTGTAAGTCTAAAAATAATGTACAATTTAAAAAATGTTCAACTTATTTATTTTTAAGTTAATATTCTAAGTTCAAAATTAATATTTTATCGATAGATATTTTGATAAAAGATATTTTTTAAAAATATATTTTTTAATAATATCTTTTTTATAAATATGTTAACTAATTCAAAGATAACATTTAAGATTTAGGTTTTTAAATTAAGTGTTTATCATTTATAAATAATACGTAATTTCTTGCACTTATATTATCATTAATTAATCTTTTATATTTCTAAATAATTTTCATGCAGAATGAAAGAATGTAATATAAAAAAACTTATGCTTAACATCATGTAAGATTAATATAATAACTTAATATAAAAATAATAATATGTAAAAATATCTAATGCGATATGTATAAATTTATCGTGACTTTATCTTAAATCTGTAGTTTTAATGGATTAATGACAATGATAATTTTAGGATGAGTTTTCTATCTTAATAATAAAGCAAGTTATCCCAATATTTGAATTATCTGTGTTTTGAAAGCACAAGAATTATATGCGATGTTTGATAAAAGACTAAAAATGCGATGATATCTCAACTTTTTACGCGACATGTCGATCAAACTCTCTTTCTTCCCGATTGAATTTAAATCGGGAAGATCTGTTGATCGAAGCTTCTAATGATCAAGGTAGTGTGTCATTTGAAGTATCGAATATAAGAATAGGAGACGCTTAGATGCGTCACACGCCAGGGTCCACCAAGCCACGCATACCGCCGCGATGCCGTCAACCCTACTGTGAAGCAAGCTTCCTTTACGCGAACGCAACGCGCGTGTGCGCACGTACATGGTACTACAAAATACATAGAATAAACGCACGCTAGGAAACGCGAGAGGCGAGCGGGGGTTGATGGCGTAGCTACTCTATTTCCGTTCTCTTCGAAAACGGAGCAGCGAGCGGAGCCCTGCCCCCGAAGGTGTTTTACAAGCCGCTGGATTTCCCTGCCTACCATTCCCAGTTGGGATTTATCGAAAGTGTCATACTTGAA